CATCTGAGGATGACCAAGGATGAGGATTTGATCTATGCAACCACGGAATGCACGAAACCTGGCCTGATCTTCATGCATTTGTCTTTCGCGAAATCGGCTTAGCCTGCGTAATAAAATAGCACGACCGAATCGGAAGGCTTGGCGACATCAAATTGATCGCATCTCATCTTCTGGCGGCCATCAAATCGAAATCTGGTTGATCGTTGTTTTATGGCGAGCCAAGCAACTTGTTTTTAACAAACAGCGGTGATCGTCACGGGTGCTCCATTTTCTGCTTCCTGTTCAATTTCGTCGCAGCTGAAATATTGGAGAACGTCCCAAGTNTCCCAAGTGATTCTGTTTCTGGGTATCACCCAGTCCCACCTTAAGTCCAACTGGCCGGAAATCGGTCATAGTTGACTGACCGTTCTACTCAGTTAGTTGAGTGGCCAATAAGCGTAGCGCAGCAAAGGAAATGACCATGTGCCAGTGCAAGGCTCCGGCGGCGTATGCAGGAAACACCTGTAGCGTAAACGCGACCTTTCAGTGCCACTCAGCTTTGGCGGTGGACGGCTTCGCAGTCATCCGGTTCAATACCACGCCTTACCTAGTGGGGTCTTATGTGGCTCGTCACTCCAAGACCCTAGACTTAGGTTACCGGTTCCTATTACCGAATAGCAGGTCCTCGTGACTATGGGATCCATACGGTTTGCAGTTCATTACACAAATGTGTATTCAAAATAAATAACAATAATTTAAAGCTCAAGATTAAACTATTGTACAGTTTGGATCGAGGATTATTCATCAAAAACAACACTTTACGTTTGAATATAGAGATTATGAGGAAAGAAAATAAAGAACGGTGCTTTATAACACCGCCCATCTGGAAAAGAAGTTTGTACACGAACCGCACTTGGTACGAAGGTCCGCTGTTGAAATTACCCAAATTCGGATTCTAACCAGCTCTCGCATCGTGAGTAGAATGTTTCCACAGTCAGTGAATTATCAGCGGTTGAGTGAGTGGGGTCTTATCTCGGCTGTTCCCCGTGAATGACGAAATTCTCCAAGGTTCCGAACGTGCATCAATCCTGGGTCCTTTTATTAATTACGGATTCTTTTTCAAAACGCCTAGCTCAGTTAATTATATCTCTATGGAGCTAACTATTAACTATATTTGTTTCAGAGCTTCATAAACTTCACGCGTTTCAATCTTTCCCAAACGTGTTTCTTATTCTCTCTAACCGACTTTGGACGCCCATTTCTTTATTCAACAAGTTTGTTTTCGCTTTCGTTGTCCTGGGTTAATCTGTTGGTCTTCATCCAGATCCACAATGTCTCCAATGGTGCTCGTAGTCGTTTTTCTGCTCCACGAAAAACGCTTCTTTCCACCTGACCAATTTTACAGTAGGCTCAAATCTGTTGCATGCCCGAAAACTGCAATCGTGTGTAGTAAAACTTCATATACTGCTCTTTCTCTTTTCGGTCGAGTTCCATGTTAGGTCACTGGGCTGATGAACGAACGACCTTTAGCTTCAAATCTGTTACCGTTTCCCCATTTATAGGCAGCTGCTTCTTTATCTCTTTCCTACTATCAAGATTTTTGGTTTGCTCTTTTCAACTTGCATCAGTCGTTCCCCTCCAGTTGCCCTTTTTCTCAACTATCTCATTCTCTGGTGACCAGGCACGTTTAACCGGTTACTGTCCCTAGATGGCAAACTTCTGCCTTCCCGAGACTGTGAAATTATGAGACAATACTTCCGTTTCTGCATTTCCAAACGCTGATAATTTTCAAAACAAGGACAAGATATTAGGTTTAACTGAATTATTCCCACAGTTTCATACTTAATGTACGCCCTTACCTATAGGATTGACTCCTTTTACTGTCAGTCACTTTTAACTAAATATATATAAATCAATTATACATTTGGAAGCCTCGTCAATCTGTGGATCTGACGGCCCCCAACGTGAGGATTCTCATACAGGTGGGTCAACAAGCTTGTCTGTAATGTACAATGGACCCTTCGGGAAATGTCAGCTGCGTAACGGAGACGTGAATTCGAGATCTCAGTATTATAAGCTACTTAAGTATGCCGAATTCACCCTCGAGGTAGTTCCTCTGCACATCAACCGAGGATGAATCTTATTCAGTATGTCGACACGCAGAAGATATCATGTCAAATAAAGGCATCAAAGCTTCGCTTATCGACTATATACCCTTCAAAATTCATCAATGCGAAACACGGCTCCAGTGAACCTCCGACTGAGGCAGAAGTACGATCTTGCACTCGAGTTCTGAAGAAAAGAAAAGTAGCAGGACCGGACGGGCTTCCCCCACTCATTTCAAGATGGGAGACGATGACCTCGTAGACGTCATTACTGATTTAATACGTAACATCCGTTCACACGAGCGCATCCTGTCATCCTGGAGCGAATCACTGATCGTTCCCATTTTCAAGAGGGATCTCACGACTGCACAAACCACCGTGGGACAAGTTCGATCCCAATCGTCACCAAGTAACTAGCCTTCATACTTCGACATCTGACACCGTTGAGGGAAACAAACATCCACGAACAACCAGCAGGATTTCGACCACGTCGCAGCTGTATTGATCAAATCTTCACTTTGCATCAAGTCCTCGAGCTACGCAATACGCACCGTCGACCAACGGCTGTCGTGTTCCACTGACCTAAAGGGAGCCTTCAATTCAGCTGGCCGCGAATCCTTCATGGATTCGCTCCTTCTCAAAGGAATGCCGCAGAAGTACGTGAACATACAGAGTACATTCTACACGTAAACTTCTGGTAGCGTAAGGGTCTATGGCGAGCTGAGTAGGTCGTTCATAATTAGCAGCAGTGTTAATCAGTCCTGTTCAATTTCGTCATAGATGAATTACTGGAGAACGCACTCAGCGGTCTCCAAAATTTAGGTATTGAATGAGCAGCTGGAGAAAAGTTGTGCGATTCAGAGCAGGCTAACATCGTTTGCTTGTTAGAGTGCATGGAGGATGCACAAAACGCACTTGATAAGACTAGTAAGTTCTGTTGCACCGTTCGGCATGTGCTTTGCACCTTCAAAGTGCAAAGTAATGCTACAAGACTAGGTGTCACCGAGTCCCGCTCTGAAACTAGACGGTCAGGAATTAGCTGAAGTTGACTACTTCTCGTACTTAGGTAGCTGCGTGACCAACGACGGTAGCTCATCAAAGGAGATAACCGCCCGCATTTCCAAAGCTCGAGCAGCGTGCGCAGGACGAAAACACCTGTGGCGACGAAGCGACATTTAATGAAGTTGAAAAGTAGCGCATACTGCGCCACTGTACGATCAGTTCTGCTTTACGGTTGAGACCTTGAATTTGCGGGTAGAAGACATCCGTCGTCTAGTGGTTTTCGACAATCGATGCTTACTTAGTCTGGTCGAGGTCGGATGAAGTGAACGGGTTAGTAACTTAGAAGTCGTCGGGGGGTTGGGAATGCATCGAACAAGAACTTGCTATGGCATCGAATTCAACTCATTAGGCTCCGTTGGTTAAGACACGTTTTGCGTATGTCAACGGTCGCCTATTGCAGCGTGCCTTATTCGCAGTGGCTGTGGCAGACTGCAGAAAGTCAGACGGCGGCCAGCAAACGAGGCATGAAGAAATGCACAGAACGATTAGGTAGGGTAGGTGCCTCTCTTCTTCCGGGTTGGGGTTTAAAAGACTCCGAAACCGCATGGTTGGAGGCACTGAAGTCATGGCAGCAAATCGACAGCAGTGGCGGTCTTGCTGTGTGCTAAGGAAGTTCTACTCACTGCCTCCTCGTGGCGGTTTTCCCACCCGTGAGCGGATGAAAAACCAACATTGGCAGCCCACCTAGGGGAGTTGGCTAAAAGCCCTGATTCCAAACAGTGCCAAGGGTGCATGATCCAGTGAACTGTACACTTGCCCCCAATGGACTGCAGACTATGAGCTCCGTCCTGTTGTCTTGCAGGTCGGGCTTTCTGGCCGAAGACCCCAAGGCGACCCCAAGGCTATCCCCCTTCATCAGTCAGGGCAACCGGGAAGTTACATGGCCACACAAACCAGGAACACATTCTACAGATTTCTTCTTGTTCATATGTTGTGGCACATTTGTTAGTTCTCTGCAATTGCTTACGTGTTGAGATAAACAATAATATTCATAATAATAATAATAATAATAATAATAATAATAATAATAATATAGACACATATCGGCCTCGCGATTTGGGAGCAGAGTTGAACAAACGTTAGTAGCTACCCTTGAAGAAAGTACGAAGGATTTTCGAATAGGTAACCAAACAGAATTATGATTGGAGATAGACAACTAGAAAAATATAGACATACCTCTGTGTTATCCGGAGTCGGGAGGTAGGCGACGCAACTAGTCAGATACAAACAGACCCGTTGATAGTTTGAAGCAGAGGTATACTGCTCCAGAAATTGCAGCTTTTCTAACTCAATGCAAAGGTCGATTGCCTCGGATTCTGCATTGTGCTCCATAAGATAGGGAATGATCATATGGACCAGTGCAAGGTATTGCTCACGTTTGGCATCATCTACAAACCATCGATAACTGAAAAGTTATGTACCAGAGCTGTCCCCAGACTCCATATCCGATTCCTGCCATATAGCAACCACCTGGCTTGTCAGATGGCGAACATATTCATGTCCCCAAGCCCCGATCTCGCAATTGGTGCCCAACAATCGATAGTTCAGCGTATCGAACCGAGCCTCTGGTTTATCAGTCATTGTCATTCCCAAAACAGATACAATATCGGCGCATAAGTGCTACAACCATCAAAACGGAAAATACGGCAAACCTTGGCAGATGATTCTACCATTCCATCATAAATGGTCTTCATTTTCGAGTAATGAGGTATCATAAACTTCAATGGCTTTGGAACAGACGTCATTGAAGTTGTCGCAGACTTGATAAGAGTGCGCATGCTTTCTAGAGCAGGCTTGTGCAAATTAGTATTGGGTTCTTCCAGACGTTCAACAAGCATATTTAGCTCCTCCTGTAATTGTTTGTCCTCCTCGGACTGAAAGAAGATATAGGTAATGATTATTACTCACCAAATCATCCTCCTTAGCAGCATCACCCTTTTTCTTCTCTGCAGTAGGGTCCCCAGATTTCTGCACCGATTCCGCAACCATCTTGTGGATAATGTGAATAAGCAAAACGAGACCAAGTCGCACAACTGTCAAGGTCAGATCAGGTCAGGTCAGGTCAGGTCAGGTCAGATCAGGTTGCACAGGACTGAATATGGCCACGGCCAATCGAGCGTCCAG